AAGACTGAAAAAAAAAGAGTCGAGGAAGGAGTCTACCCCAAGGAAAACGGGTTGCATTATTCCATTTTAAACGGTCAATCAAAGTCACCCATTACCATTTCGATTCACACGAACCATTTATTTATGCTCACCCTACCGGTTATTTACAGCCATCAATTAATTATCGCTGAATAATGAGTATATATACCATTGCAGGGAATACATTAGTAAATCGCTTTTCTTTCTGGTCACCTTTACCCGTATATATAATTCTTTCTCTATGCCATTTATGGATTTCAATTTCCAACTGTCATTATAAAATTACACCAATATTCTACATTTGGAAGATGAAGCAAATCTGAATCTAATCTCTGAATTCACCCAGCACGTTAGGTTTTCCAGATATTCTAACCTAAATGTGCAAAAAAAGTGTTTTTGTAAAATCTGATTCTTTGGTTCTAAAGTCGATCAAAAATTTGATCGTATTGTGTTTTCTGATACAGGTTCAGAATCTGAATTTCTTGATATAGAAATACAGTTTTTATTGTTGTATATAGGATGCACAAATAATCTAAAAAGCAAAACAGTCCGTAGAAAGTTTTAACAGATTTTTAGCAAACATATCAGTTCACTGAAAATCTACTAAATATCTGCAGATTTTCTTCGGATTTTTTTTACTTAGATGGGTCCAATGAAGATAAAATTTGAGCAAAATAATCAATATGTATAAAGAAGTTGGATGTATTGAAGATTGAATGAAAATTATGTTTTCAATCCAAATAAAATTTTCAAGTTTGATATGTTTTATCATAGACATTTGCATCAGGTTGGCTATATCAAATGAATTCCATATTTGGATATAAAAATGTGTTCGTTTTGAAATTGTGTATCAACCAATTAGAATTTAATTTTCCAAGCTTTCAAGGCAGATGCGGGTTTTTTGAAACAAATGGAAACATTTACAATTTTGTAAATCGATGCCATATTTTAGTTTAGTTCAGAAATTATTTTGGTCGATTAGTTTCTTGGGCTTCTTCACTCGAACTCGCGTCTCTGAATATTTTTTTTCTCTCTTTTCTCGTCGTTTCTTTTTTTTTAAATCTTCAACATAGAGAGAGAGCGTAGGCAGGTTGGCATACGAGCGGTATATATATATGCGGTCAACTCGCCAGCTTCTCTTTCTGCTCTAATGAGCTTGCTATTATTTGCTTTATTGAATGCAATTAGAGCTTACTCCGTGTCCCCTGCCCTTGGCTCCTTTTGCCGCTGGTCCATCCCTCTTATTGCGCTCGCACGCACCGATACGCACACGCCGCTAAAATTCAAACAAACACATAACCAACCACACAAAGCAGTCACGAACCACTCTAGAGAGAGAAAGAGAGTTTCTCTCCTTCATCTTCATCTTCTTCTTCTTCTTCTTCATCTTCTCGAAAAGCATCGTGCAAAACCATCCTTATATATATATATATACATGTATATACAATATTGGAATTCTCGTGTGTGCGTGTGAATCTATGTGCGGGCCACATGAGCCAACGGACTTAGCAATCAGCCACAGACACGCATCCGCCGTAATTTCTAGAACAAAAACTGTAATTGCATTCATTATCTTTCAGCTCCCAAAAAGAAAGTATACTCCAAGGAAAGACTTCCTTCAGAAGCTACTTCGCGAATCATTTGTTATTTTTTTCTTCTCTCTCTCTCTCTCTCTCTCTCTCTCTCTTGTTTTGTATTTTCCTTCCTGATGAGTGTATATCGCTTTTGATGTGCAAAACTTTACAGAATTTTGCCTCGCTCCCAAATAACAGTAAATTATTTGTTTGTTTCTTTAACAAATTATAAAACACTACTTTATAATCATTACACGGGCACACAAAAAAAAAAAGTTTTCTGTTTCTTGAACTAGACATATATTTCCTATAGTATTTTGGCCCGCTGAAACCGAATCTGAGCTCAGAATTGCTCCATCACCCTCAGTTTTTTTTTAAATCGACCAAAACCACCCTTAAATGAACAAATTCACACTTCGGAGATAAAAAATAAATCAACTTATTTTTTTAAAAAATCGAATTTTACATCTAAGAAACCTTGCTCCACTAACTCTAAAATAAAGCCAGCATTGATCCAGCACCCCCTGAATTATTTTAATTGAAAAAACTACCCCTAATCTGCAGAATCAAATTTAGGAGATAAAACAATAAAATAACTGATTAAAAAATGTTATAACCAGATATTTTTACTCCAGCAGTGCAGAAACAAAGCCAGAAATGCTCCCTTACCCACTAAATTTTTTTTTTAATCGAAAAACCACCCTTAAATAGAAAAATTCAAATTTAGGAAGTAAAAAAATATTAAATTACCGGCTTTTTTTCAAAACAAAACCTTACATGTATGTAGTTTTGCTCTACTAACTCAAAAAAATAAAGCCAGCATTGATCCACCACCCTCTGAATTTATTTAAATCGAAAAAACTACCCCTAATCTGAAGAATCAAATTCAGGATGTAAAACAATAAAATAACTGATTAAAAAATTTTATAACCAGATATTTTTACTCCAGCAAGGCAGAAACAAAGCCAGAAATGCTCCCTCACCCAGTAAATTTTTTTTAAATCGAAAAAACCACCCTTAAATAGAAAAATTTAAATTTAATAAGTAAAAAATATTAAATTACCGGTTTCTTTAAAAACAGAACCTTACATGTTTGTAGTTTTGCTCCACTAACTCAAAAACAAAGCCAGCATTGATCCAGCACCCCCTGAATTTTTTTAATCAAAAAAACTACCCTTAATCTGAAGAATCAAACTTAGGAGGTAAAACAATAAAATAACTGATTAAAAAAGTTTATAACCAGGTATTTTTACTCTAGCAATGCGGAAACAAAGCCAGAAATGCTCCCACACCCTCTAAAATTTTTTTAAATCGAAAAAACCACCAAAGAATCAAACTTAGAAGGTAATTTAATATAATTATATTGTGTTACCTCCTAAGTTTGATTCTTCAGGTTAAGGGTAGTTTTTTTGATTAAAAAAAATCAGAGGGTGATGGATCAATGCTGGCTTTATTTTTTTGAGTTAGAAGAGCAAAACTACATACATGTAAGATTCTGTTTTTCAAAAAAACCGGTAATTTAATATTTTTTACTTATTAAACTTGAATTTTTCTATTTAAGGGTGGTTATTTCGATTTAAAAAAAATTTAGAGGGGAGGGAGCATTTCTGGCTTTGTTTCTGCCTTGCTGGAGTAAAAATACCTGGTTATAAAATTTGTCAATCAGTTATTTTATTGTTTTACCTCCTGAATTTGATTCTTCAGATTAGGGGTAGTTTTTTCGATTTAAAAAAATTCAGAGGGTGGTGGAGCAATGCTGGCTTTATTTTTTTGAGTTAGTGGAGCAAAGTTTCGTAGATGTAAAATTCGATTTTTTAAAAAAATAAGTTGATTTATTTTTTATCTCCGAAGTGTGAATTTGTCCATTTAAGGGTGGTTTTGGTCGATTAAAAAAAAAAACTGAGGGTGATGGAGCAATTCTGACCTCAGATTCGGTTTCAGCGGGTCAAAATACTATAGGAAATATATGTCTAGTTTAAGAAACAGACAACTTTTTTTTTTGTGTGCCTGTGTTATATTTACTTCAGTGTCACGCCCCAGATAGCACAACAATTTGCCACAATTTTGCAGCACGTTGGCAATGCCAAAATGCAAGTCTGCATTACCAACTTGCTGCAAAACTGTGGCAAATATCGATATGTCCATCCTTTTTAAACTTTGCACTGCAAATTTGCTGCAAAAAAGCTGAATGAGTTTTCCGCAGAATTTCAAAAACAATTTTCTGAAAAATGACACGGAAAATTTTCTTAAATTTGAAAATGCAATTTTTTTGGAAAATAAAATTTTTCAGTTTCCTTGAAAGTTATTTTTTTTTAATTTCTGTACTATAAAAATAATTAAATCGTAGGACAAGAAGGGAGTAAAAAGAAAAAAAATTTTTAGAAAGAAGGCTTTATAAAAATTTATTTTTTTAAAATTTAAGTTATATTACATAAAATTAAACAAACAATAAATAGATTTTATAATTCTCAGAGGTACTTTTAGGGTTGCCAAAAGAATTGATTTTTTAATTTTCCTGACGTTTCTCTGACATTTAAAAATTCCTCCTGACAGAAAAGTTTTATTACAGATAACAAATTTTAACACAAATTTAATGTCAAGTTTACCATCAAAATTTGATTTAGCTTTTTCCTGCCTTTTCTCTGATTTTAAAATGGAATTTGGAATTTTTTCCTGATCCAAATGAAAACTTTTCAAGCAGTTGTTCTTTATTAAAACTAAAACAACTTTTTAAATTAAAAATTTGAATTAAAATTTAAAAAAAATAGAATTTTCATTGTATTTTCAAAAATTTAATATTTTTTAGTACTTTTGATAAAATTCGATTATTCAGTTTTAAATCTCCTGAAATTTCATTATTTTTTTAACAACATAAATAACAAATCTTTCAAAATTATATTAAAATTTAAAAATAAATTTTTAAAGCCTTCTTTCTAAAAAAAATTGTGTTCTTTTTACTCCCTTCTTGTCCTACGATTTAATTATTTTTATAGTAAAGAAATTAATAAAAATAACTGTCAAGGAAACTTAAAAATTTTATTTTCCAAAAAAATTGTATTTTCAAAATTAAGAAAATTTTCCGTGTCATTTTTCAGCAAATTGTTTTTGAAATTCTGCGGAAAACTCATTCAGCTTTTTTGCAGCGATTTTGCAGCAAATTTGCAATGCAAAGTTTAAAAAGGGTGGACATATTGTAATAATTAATTAATATTATAATAATAATTTGTGAAATCTTTAAACAAATAAATTATTATCATTATTATTATCTATATAATAATAATAATAACAGTATATATACATATAAACATAAACAAATTGAAATTCCTCTTATAATATTATCCATCGGAAGTTTGTTAAACGCAAAAAAAAAAGATAAGTCATAATAGGTTATCAGTATCATGTTAATAACCCAAGAATTCTATCAACTGACGAAGGAAGCTGCGCTTGCTTTCATACAATTTATTGTCAGTATTCTGTGAACAATTATATTGGACGTGTGATATATATAATTTGTGAAACAATGTTTTTACTCCTGACGAAAAAATGCTTATTACTATTAATAATTTGTAAGTTTTTTTAAGCTAATATATTTTATTACATTTTTTATAAAGTGTAATAAATTTTATTATTGCATTATTATAATTTTATTATTATTTTTATTTTCATTATTATTATATTATTTATTTTTATTATTATTATTTTATTGACAGTTGTTAATAATTATGAAACCTATATGAATATTTATAATTTCAGTAGATCAAAATTTATAATACCAAATTTTTATAATGTAAAATTGTTATTTAACTGATTTTTTTGATTAATTTATAATTTTTTAATTTAATGTTTATTTTGTAGTTTCATATTTCATTATTCGGCTAAATAAGCGTATTTAAAATTATTTTTTACCATTGTTAAATATTTCTAATTATTATTTAATATTATTAAATATTTTTTTAATTCAGTTATTATATTTAATAATTATTTAAATATTTCTAAGTTAATAACTATTATTTTAGAGTAATTAAAAATTCCGTTTGCAGAAGGATACATATATAAAAAAATGTCAGTAAAAAATAATTTGTTTCAGTGAAAATATAATAATATAATAATGAAAATAATATTAATAATAATAAATAATAAAACAGTAATAAAAATATAAAATACAAAAATAATAATTGAAATTTCGTGATTTTGCAATAAATTTACAATTTTTTTTTTGCAAGCTCTATTAGTTGGTGTATCAGCTTTAAATTTTGATTCAGTGGTGCCAATGAATGAAACGATTCCACACGGTTACGACTTGAAATTAATGTACAGTTACGTAAATTCAGGTACAATTTTTGTATTCATGAAAAATTTTCCTTTAAAAAAAAAAAAAAACAAATCTTTAATTATATCTAATTTAGAAATATATAAATTAACAAATATCAAAGTTGAATGACGTAATTACAAGTTTTGAACAGGAAACCGAGAAAATGTCTCTGCTCAACCGATATCTCCAATTACATACAAATACGATAAGACCATAGGTAATCCTGTCTCCTTTTTGTCTATTAGGCATGAAAAAAAATTTTTTCATATTTTTCACAAACAGCATTACTAATTAATGTAAATTGTTTCAATTCTATTTTTGGCTTAAATTAAGTTTCTATCTTTAAATTTTATCTCTGTAAATTTTATAATTTTTGCCAATAATAATTTATTAATTTATTAATTAGTAATTAATAATAATAATTAAATAAAAATTAAAATGATATACGCAGATCTATTGAGAACAACAGCTGAATATTACGAGAAAGAAGTTCCAAAAGTCTCCGAAAATGTGGACAATTTTTTGAATACAAAATTAACGGATGTTAGTGAGAAATGTTTAAATTTAAATGACACAATTGGTTGGTTGAATTTTCAAATGAATTACACGGCATTTCAACAAGAAGCAAAAAATTTACAAGCATTTTTGGTCAGTCCACCAAAGGAGCCTGACAATACATTCGAAGCTGTAATTCGTTCAACGAATTTTATCATTAGAATGGGTCATTTTATAAAATCATTTCAATTTTGTTTAGAGAATGAAAAACAATTGACTGAGGATGATGTTATGGGAGTGATGCACATTATTTTGCGTCAAGTTATTAAAAACGTTTTTCTAGGTGACTTTGAAGAAAACTATTTTTTAAATTTGCCACTTTTAAAAAAATAAATATTGAAAAAAAATGTTAATTATAAAAACGTTTTTCAAATTATTTCAGCTGGGAAAGTGAATTTGGATGCAGACTATAGAGAAAGTTCACAATCTTCTAAATGTCTTCAAGTTTTTTATCCAATGCGATCTAGTAATTATTTATTTGACGCTCTAATGGATAATTTTAATTCGCCCTTTGAATCCTGCTAGTAAGTTTTTTTTTTTTTTTGTTAATTTATTCACATTCTTTTATTGAAATTAGATAAAATTAATGTACAAAATTTATTTAGTGTAAATTTAGAAAAATAATATTAAAATAATAATAATATCAGATTTAGTGAAGTTGTAAATATATTACTATTTTTAGTTCGCAGAAAGATTTTGAAAAATGCGCTCACCATCTTTTGAAGAATTGTGAACCGGAACTGGCTGCAATTTTAAGAATGTCATGGTGTCCCGCCAATTACGGATGCTACAATTAACAAAAAAAATTACATTTTTTAAATATTAGTATAAGCATCATAATTATCAAAAAAAGAAAATTCAACCCGTTATGTATTAATTTTGCCAATATATCTAATTTTTCTAAAATATTCAATGACAAACGGAATTAAATAAAATAAAATAAGATAAATAAAATCTCGAGAATAATGTTAAAAAGGAGAAATAAATATTAAAAAATTTAATTAATATTCAATCAATGTTTTAGGCGCAAGGGAATTAAATAACGAATCCAAAACAATTGGAGAACAATGTAGGAGGGGCAAACTAGTAATTAGTTCCACCTCTTCTTTCCCCTTCTTCTCTTCTTCGCGAATAGCAACGTTGAAGGCGGAGCTAAAATAGCTAAAACTTTTTCATTAATTTATAATAACTTCTTTTCATGCGCGTACTGGAATATTTTTTCACATAGTGAAATTTAATATACACTAATTTTTGTTGTCCTCTGTTCAGATTTATTTTCTCACAATGAGTTGGTGAAATATTAATCGTATATATTATATATATAAAAGGAAACTATAAATTGTTCAAAGGTTTTCTTCTTTTTAATTACTTGTAGGTAATTTATTACAATAAGGATTTTGCGCCAATGGCAATGGTTACCATGATGCCACGTCCCAATGTCATTTATTGTCCGATGAGCAAGAGCGTAGCGGGCCCAAGAAGTGCGACCCCCTTTTTATGAATGGGTCGGAATCATGCGAAAGCGGCATTCGTTAAGCCACTTATTATTCGAGCCCACATGGAGTCGATTCTCGTGGATCATAACCACCCGTAACCTCTCTTACTTACACTCCTATATATAATAATAATAATAATAATAATAATCCAACATATATACATTTTTATAGAAATCCTGACCTTCGCACTTTTCATATACATTCGAGCCAATATAGCGTGTAACGACTTTTTTTTTACCCTTTGCCGCGTTATGTTACCAATAGAATAAAACTGTAATAGGTAATTAAATGTTTTTTTAAAATAAAAAATTCTAAAAATAATTTATAATAATAATATTTTAAAGAAGGTGAATCTAATTTTTCTTTGGAACTGCAGAAGCTCAAGGACTATAAATCTTTAGACTAGTTCAAATATTAAAACAAATATTTATTCTGATTTGGAATCTAAAATTAATTCTGTAATTGGATTTTTGTTAATCCTTAATGTTATCCCTTAACCATTATCCGTAATCTGATTCTAAAACTAATCCATAATCCTTAATTCTGAAGCTTAATTAAATCCGAAGTTCTAAAAGTAGTTGCTATCTTCTATCTTAAACAATGTCCTAAATCTGCGAACTAAAAAGCAATTCTCCATTATATTTTAAAAGTTGTTCTAACATTGCCAAATATTGATCCTGATCATAAAATTAATACTGTAATCAGTTCTAAAAATCTCCTCAATGTTATAGAGATCCAATGTTATCCTTTACTCAATGTCGGAAATCTGATTTTAAAACTAATCCTTAATTCCTAATTCTGATGCTAAATTAATCCTAAGTTTAAAAAGTATAGTCGCTGTCTTTTGTCTTAAACAGGGTCCTAAATCTGAAACAAAAATCCAATTTCACATTAAGGTTAAGCCATAAACGATTATCTAAACATCTACAAGCCTCTGCATCATGAGATCAACTACACCGTCCGACACGATTTTTCACACACGAAAAAATCAATGATTTTCAGAAACTAGGACCAAAAAAAAGATACCCGTGTCTGGCCGTTTTGCTAGATCAGGTCATTTTTTGCTTTTAGGGGTAAAAACAACCCTTAAATGAAAGGTGATAGGAAATCTTGTACAAATTAATAATTTTTTATCAAACCTGGTATCTCAAGGTTTTCCGGGTCGCTGATTACGAATCTGATGTCAGATTTTCAAAATTCAAAATGGCAGATCCAATATGGCGGTCGAAATTTATAAAAATTCACCAATTCATTTGAAAGTTTTTACTTAGGGGTTTTTGGGGTCGCTGATAACGAATATGATGTCAGATTTTCAAAATTCAAAATGGCGGATCCAATATGGCGGTCGAAATTTATAAAAATTCACCAATTCATTTGAAAGTTGTTACTTAGGGGTTTTTGGGGTCGCTGATAACGAATATGATGTCAGATTTTGAAAATTCAAAATGGCGGATCCAATATGGCGGTCGAAATTTATAAATATTAATTATTTTTTGTAAAACTTGGTATCTAGGGGTTTTTGGGGTCGCTGAGTACGAATCTGAAGTCAGATTTTTAAAATTCAAAATGGCAGATTCAATATGGCGGTCGAAATTTATAAAAGTTCATCGAATTCACTTGAAACTTGTTACTTGAAGGTTTTTGGGGTCGCTGATAACGAATTCGATGTCGGGTTTTCAAAATTCAAAATGGCGGATCGAATATGGTGGTTGAAATTTATAAATGTTATTGGTTTTTTTTATAAAACTTCGTATCTCTGGGTTTTTGGGGTCGCTGAGTAGACGAATCTGATTGTACATTTTTAAAATTCAATATGGCAGACTCAATATGACGGTTGAAATTTATAAAAATTGTTAATTTTTTATAAAACTTGGTATCTAAGGGCTTTCGGCGTCTCTGAGTACGAAAATGATGTCAGATAAGAATAATAAAAACGACAAATCTAATAAAGGTGAATATCACAAATCTGAAAAATAATTTGGAAAATTTAAATGTTCGATCATTTTTTTGTTAAAATTTGCAAGTCAACATTTTAAAATTTTTATTTTAAGTGATTTTTAATCTGAAAATTTGTATATTTATTAATTAAGTTTCTATTAGAATTAATAAATTCAAAAGGTTATAATCAAAATTTATTAAACAAATATAATGCAATAAAATACAATTAATAGAAATATTTCATAACAACTGTTGTATTACGTTTGTGTAAATTTTAGACGCTTATTTTTACGATTTAAAGATTCGACCACCATATTCGATTCGCCATTTTGAATTTTGAAAACCCGACATCAAATTTGTAATCAGCAATCCCAAAAACCTTCAAGTAACAAGTTTCAAGTGAATTCGATGAAATTTTATAAATTTCGACCGCCATATTGAATCCGTCATTTTGAATTTTGAAAATCTGACATCATATTCGTAATCAGCGATCCCAAAAACCCCTAAGTAACAACTTTCAAATGAATTGGTGAATTTTTATAAATTTCGACCGCCATATTGGATCCGCCATTTTGAATTTTGAAAATCTGACATCAGATTCGTAATCAGCGACCCAGAAAACCCCGAGATACCAGGTTTGATAAAAAATTATTAATTTGTACAAGATTTCCTATCACCTTTCATTTAAGGGTTGTTTTTACCCCTAAAAGCAAAAAATGACCTGATCTAGCAAAACGGCCAGACACGGGTATCTTTTTTTTGGTCCTAGTTTCTGAAAATCATTGATTTTTCGTGTGTGAAAAAAAAGTTAAATTTTGTCGGACGGTGTTATATTAGTGAAAGTTGATACAGAAACAAACAAAGCAAATCATAATAAACTTAAATGCAACAAATCTTTAAAAAAAAAACTACTCCTATTATTATCATTATTAAATTTACAAGCATGGAATTCTATAAAGTTTCTTATCAATAGTAGACACACACTCTCGCAAACATAACGATAAATGAGCCGGCAACTATAAACCAAAAAAAAAAGTAAATCAAAGTCCAAGGGCAAAAGTGCGTACAGCAATCGACTGGCTATCAGTGGGATTTGAGTTATTGGAATGGAAGCAAGTTGACACGTTGGATGTTCTTGGGACACCCGATGCGTAAGAGTGGAGTCCAAAATAATTGCCTGCAGTGGAATATAAATGATAGCAAGATTGTGGAGCGTTCGAGAGATGCATGAACGATGCAACGACCAAAAGAGAAGGTAAGAAGAGAATGAGAAAAGGAGGACGATGAGTAAAACAAGGGTAGGCACGAGTATCCCGAGAGTTCTTCTTTGGGTGAGAGAGTACCCCCCCCCCCTCCTCCAATTGTCTTGGTATTGGAATCACTTTCGAATGTATATGTATACATGTATCTGTATACTATAAGAGACGCCAGGCGGCTACTTGGTACGCGAGACGTACGCGCACGTAATTGCGTGCCCGTCCTGAAATTATTCATCTCCCCGGCTATACCACGGCCTGATCTTGACCAGCAGCGCCAGCGGTATATGATAATGCATAGAAGTGCCCGTCATTATATAGCTGACCAAGCTATATGTATTCACTGTCCCATCCTTCTTTCTCTCTCTCTCTTGCTGTACGCAGATTACAGCACCTCGATGAGAACCCTCCTTTTTTTTTTTTTTGCAAAAGGTACGTGTGTTGTTTCAGCTACAGCTGCTCTGGAACACTCACACACATGTGTGTAAGAATCGAATCGCTTAAAAGGGACTAATTGTTTTTTCGCGTTATCCCCAACACGAACTTACATCCCATCTGCATGTTATCCTCGAACCAGGATTTTGCTTATTTCTCTAAATACTTCTCCGAAACATTTTGCAGCTATGTTTTTGCTTGACTTTCTGTATTTTGCAATTAGTAAATTGAAAAAGTTTTCTTAGGATTTCATTCTGAAATCCTCAACTACCATCCTGAAGTGATGATGAAAGTAATTCTAATAATTTCTTAAGTGAATCAGTAAGAGGAATTAGGAACATCTGAACATCATTTTAGTAGCTTCTAGGAAAATTCCAAAAAGATATCGTGCTATGTAAAACCTGGGATCAATTTGATTTGTAATTTTGAAACCATTTTTAGAACTTAATGTAGGATTAGGTATTTGGTTCATAGAACATTGTTTCAGACTGAAGATACCGACTACTTTTCGAACTTAAGATTAATTTAGCATCAAAATTAGAAATTAGAAATCTACTTTTAGAATTTAATGCAGAATTAGTTTTTAGTTCAGATTCAGGACATTGTTTAAAGAAGATATCTCCACTACTTTTAGGATACTTCAGATTTAATTAAGCATCAAAATTTCAGATTTAGGACATTATGGTAAATATCTTCTCTAATTTTACAACCACTGTCAAAATTATTCTTCGACAACATAATGTGGGTGTTCAGTTACAGATTTAGGGACATAAGAGATCAGAAATCATTAATTTTTTTTTTCACTTTAATTACAATCTTATATTCATGATGTGGAATAATAAACGCCTATATATACACTTAATTTAAGAGATCAAC